GGTCCCCATCGGCACCGGTCACACCGCACACGCGGCCCGTCCGCGCCCCTCCTCGGCAGCGCCAGGGGCTCTTCCTCCTCCGGTACAAAGCTGCTCGCTCGGGAAATGGCACTTCGCCCCGGAGCCACAGTCAAAAGCAATTTTCCTCCTTTATTTTCATTTTTCTTTTCTTTTCTTTTTTTTAAACGCTCTTTCTTGTGAAAAAGAATTAATTTCCTAAATACATACAAATATTTTTTTTTTTGTAATTTTTTTTTTTTTGGTGCGTGCGTGCGTGTGTGTGGAAGCACCGGGCTCTCCTGCGATCGGTGTCTGAATGAAACTACGTAAATGCATATGTCTGTACGCTGCACTGGAGGGAAAAACGGAGCACTTCTGCACGAGCTTGGATTCAAATGTGGTTCATCTGGTCTCCAGGATTTTCCGTCTGTTTGGGGTTGTTCGCCGTCCCGGGCTGCGAGGCGGGATTTTCTGAGCTTTGACACATCTTTGGACATGGCTGTTAAACAGGAGTCTGGGAAAAAACATTTGAAATCCTAGAGAGAGATATTTTTTTGTGTCCCTTTCCCATCCCCTCGGTGACTTGAAGCATCAGAGCGGCCAGAACTTAACGTTTCTGAAGACTTGCGATGTTTGGGTTTTGTTGTTGCTATTTTTTTTCCTAGAGGAAACATGACAGAGGAACATATTTATAGTCCAAGTAAGTACTTTACAGAGGAAATTTAGTTTGTGTAACTTAACAAAAAGCAGTGTTGAGGTTTCTAGCCTAAAGTGCATTGGATTAACGTCCATCCGAGGCTGTTAAGCAAATCGTATTGAATTGCAGCTTTTACGGTGTGTGTTCGTCCGCTCCTTCGTGTCCGTGGTAGTTCAGCACCTAGGGGAGAATGCACCTGATCTTGAGTCCGTGTAATACACTTTAAAGATGTATTTCAACACCGAGGAGAAAATGGTCCTAAAGTAAATTTATGATAAGTAGTAAATGTGCACCTGGAAGTAAAGTATTTACAGCATTTTAATCCCTATTTATACCGTGCATCTCAAACCGAGGAGGAAACACTGAGAAGACAAAAGTACCTCCAAGAACTCCCCCACACCACCATGAATGAAACCGTATCCGATACAGTAACTGGATTATAATTCTTTTTTTTGGTGTTATTAATTTTATTATTATTGGCTGCTTTACTTTTTTGGGTTCATCCTGCTCCTCTTCTTCCTCTCTCCCTCCCTCTTGCTGCTTCCTCTTGGGAATTATGGCTCATCCGGGGAGAAGAGGCTACGATAACCGGGAGATAGTGCTGAAGTACATCCACTATAAACTCTCACAGAGGGGATACGACTGGGCTGCCGGCGAGGACAGGGCACCCCTGCCTGCGGGTCTCTCTCCTCCTGCTGCTGCTGCTGCGGTTGCTGCTGCTGCTGGGACTTCCTCTGATCACACTGGGCTGGTGTCTCCGCACCCCGAGCCCCCTGGCTCGGCTGCTGCTAGCCACGTGCCCCTGGCCGAGGGGCTGCGCCCCGCGCCCCAGGTCGTCCACCTCACCCTGCGCCAGGCGGGGGGCGAGGTCTCCCGCCGC